CTAATCTATTGGCAATTTGATTTCACAAATTCATCATATATTATAGACTTTGGGTACCCATTGCGCACTATCAACTTCTTCTCCAATATCTTCATCGTCTTCTTGCGCACTTTCTAATAAACAAAATGAACAACAAGCAGAATATTAGGTGATCAAGAACTTCCAAGCTTTTTTGATAAAAATATGAAATGTAATTATTGTATCCACTAGAAAGAGGTAGAACATTAGCTACTATTAAAAAAATTCAAACTTCAAAATAGTAACAATGTTTTATATCTATAGTTGACATATCAATTAAACATATCAGAAAAAACATTTGAAGTAAGCGTTTTGGTGCAGGTAAGTAGTGCAGATATTATTTTAAATTTAGTTTAGAAATAAATTTCTATAAAATTCAGCATATCCAACTACAACTTCAGGAATTTAGCTAATTCAGACACTTATCAAATGGGCCCTAACAAATCTATATTCCCTTTTTTAACAATCCAGAGGCATCACAGTATCCTTTAACATGGCCAAACTTTATGGCCATAAAAAGTTCATTTTCTATCAATAAGAGGAAAATCAATTAAGGCGACTAGTTTCGTAGGTGGTTTTGTGCTTGGTGGGATTCTTGTTGGGGGCATTGGGATGCATATATTCATCACAGGTCTATATAAGATTGTTGGTAGTTTTGAATGGACTATTTTCACTTTGAAAGTAATTTGATATAAAAGAACAAGCAGAAACAATCAAATATGCAATTACTTTCATTTTCAGTAGTCGATTCTCAAGAAAAACAAAAAACTTCTTCTTCATATATATTTCTATATTTTCCTAATATTATATTTTCTGGACAAATCCTCCATATGAATATTTAAATTTCATTTTATTTTTACCTTAATTTGTATAACAAATATACTTTCCAGAAAATTCGAAACTAATGGATTGTATTGAATGTCAAAATTCAGAGATTGGGTATATCAACAAACTCTTCAATCTATACAATTATAAGAAATGTATAAATTTAGATAGAATACCTAGATGAAGAAGGTATGGGATATAGTGTTGGTCACTGCTTCCGTAATATGTTGCTGGCGATGGAATTGGATTCAGAGCGCAGGTGTCGGCGATGAGAGGTGAAGAAGAAGGCAAGTGATTTTGGCGCTGAAGATAGGTGAAGCAGAGGGCAAGTGTCGACGATGAAAGCAGGTATCAGCAAAGAACGTAGAAGCCAAGCGAAGGAAAAATCAGGGTTAAACACGACACTCTGATAAATTGGGATGTCTGTATAGCAAGGACAACTAAAACAAAGCTGAACGAATTAAGTCAGAAAATGTCTGACCGAATAAGTCACCCTTTGTATAAAGTCCTAAGTAAACAAGCCAGTATAACTGACCGAATAAGTCACCATTTCAATTCAGTTCATTAAGTTCAAAGTAAACAGGCCCTTAGTCATTCTTGCTGCAGAATATACACATATTGTAATAAATAAATGTACATATGGATTGCTATTTGTATGATTATCGCAAGGTAGATGATGATGAGGATGATGAATGGGGCTCCAAAGTCACGGTGATGTTGTAATGACAGTCTTCCACAGCCAGTCTACAGTGCAAAGTCCCCAAAGGTGTTCTCTCCACTATATGTGACATAAAGGAAACCATCTTCATCCTTCTTCTCATCATATATGGCGGACATAAGTGCACCTGCAAATGGAAGAAGTGACATTAACAAAGACCTGCAGGCAATTCATGGCAATATTGCTGCAGTTTGTTCAAAACAGGCCAGGTTGGCATGCATACACGCCTGTTAAACACTCCTAGAGCCACTCGTTTCTATACCATCTAGGTAACCAACTAAGTGCCTCTAGGTGAGCTTAAAGCTAGGCATTCATTGAATAACCAATGATCATCCAGTGCTTTCTGCAAAACGATTCGAAGGGCCACTTTGGATCCTAGAAAATGCTAAGGAAAGAGAATACAGAGGAAAATATATTAGACATTCAGAAGAATAGAAAATTTGAGGAAAAATAGAATTTGATATTTCATTCATATTTTCTTTTGTCAAAGCAAACATAAATAAACTATTTTCAGTAGCACTTCTCTTTTCCCTAAATTTTCAGGGTCCAAAACACAGACTAAAGGAATATTCAACATTTTGATCACTTACCTGCTGGAGGAAGCACATTCTCAACAAAAATGATAATCGCTTTCTCTGCACTCAACTTGATCCTTTTGCGAATCACATATACAAATTGCCCAACTATTAGGTCAGACGGCACAAGATTCCTACAGTTAGTTAATTAGACACTACACCATAAGAAGAACACTTGCAGGGTCACTTATTTATTGGATGATGAGATGATAAAAAGTAGCAATAATATTCTAAGTTCGTGATGCATAGGTTGCTTTTATAGTATCAATTTTGTAATGGACATGAGTCTAGCAACCATCAATTGTCTTATCACATTTTCATGCCAATGACAAAACATTCTATGATGATGATTGTTTTGAATATCAAACTTTCATCTAAATAATCTCATAAAAATAGAGACATAAACAGTTTGTAAGGTGTTAGAGACTATATAACCAAGCTCTATCCGCTGAATTTTTTGGTATGTTTTTGACGAACAAGTTTTCCGTACAATTCCGTACAGTTGGGCCGTACTGATTATTTTTCCCCTTTTTTTTGGCCGAGCCTCCTAGTTGGATTAGGGGTAGGTTTTACTCTATAAATACAAGCTCTCTCCCTTTGTAATCTCTTGGATCCGAAAATAGCAATAATATTCCTGGCTTGGTGGCGCCTCTAGACGTAGTCATTCGTGGCGAACTGGGTTACCAAATTTCGTGTGTTCTCTAATTGTTCTTCGTGTGCGTGAGTTTAATTCCTAAAAATTGGTATCAGAGCCCTTGGTTCGAAGGGTGATCTCACGATGGCAGACAATTTGAAGACACCGGTGATGCAGTTTGACGGAACGGATTACGGATTCTGGAAGTTGCAGATCAAAGATTACCTGTACGGTTATGATCTGTATCAACCTGTAACACCCCGGCCCCACCGGACCCGAGGTAGTTACTCCGGACCAATAGTACTGTCCCCACAAACCACCACGAGCCTTTACCGCGCACTTTGTCCTCACTCATGCGCGCCCTGAGAAACTTCCCAGGGGGTCACCCATCCCAAGACTACTCCCGTGCAAGCACGCTTAACTTTGGAGTTCTTGGGTGATGAGCTCCCTTAAAAGGAGATGCACCTCTGTTGGTATGAGTAGTACTATTAATCCGTTTATATTAAATCTCAAGTGTTACAATCACCCCCACTTAGGATCGCAACGTCCTCGTTGCGCCCATAAATCAATCTCAAATCTCAATCAAATCCCAGAATCTTCCCCCGCTAAGTGTCTGCCCGATATCCAACGGGTCAACACACTGTCGCAGGGTTGCTCTGATACCACCTGTAACACCCCGGCCCCACCGGACCCGAGGTAGTTACTCCGGACCAATAGTACTGTCCCCACAAACCACCACGAGCCTTTACCGCGCACTTTGTCCTCACTCATGCGCGCCCTGAGAAACTTCCCAGGGGGTCACCCATCCCAAGACTACTCCCGTGCAAGCACGCTTAACTTTGGAGTTCTTAGCGGATGAGCTCCCGTAAAAGGAGATGCACCTCTGTTGGTATGAGTAGTACTATTAATCCGTTTATATTAAATCTCAAGTGTTACACAACCTATGGATGATAAGCCGGAAGACATGAAGGAGAGCGATTGGAAGTTGCTGGACATAAAAGCGATGAGCGTGGTTCGATTATCGCTGTCCAGAAACATCGCCCTACAGAGCGTCAAAGCAAAAACGACAAAGGAGATGTTGCAGATTTTGTCGGATATGTACGAAAAACCATCCGTTGTGAACAAAGTTCATCTGATGAGGCGGCTTTTTAACCTAAAGATGTCAGAAAGCACGGGAGTGGTGGATCATCTCAACGAGTTCAATGTGATCATCACACAGTTGAGCACAGTTGAGATAAAATTCGACGACGAAATTCATGCCCTAATTCTGCTGTCTTCTCTCCCGGAAAGCTGGAACGGAACGGTGACTGCAGTCTTCAGTAGGGAAGGAGAAACTGAAATTCGATGAAGTCGGAAATCTGGTGGTCAACGAAGAAATTCGCAGGAAGGAATCAGGCTTGACTTCTGGATCAGCGTTGAGTACATAGAACCGGGGCAGAACGAAGTCAAAGTCAAAGTCAAATCGGGATAGATCAAGATCCAAATCCAAATCAAATAGCAAGGGTAAGAAGGACAGAAGTCAGATCAAGTGCTGGAATTATGAGGAGTACGAACATTTCAAAAGGTAGTGCAAGGAGCAGATCAAGGATCAGAAGGAGAAGACATCTGCCAATGCAGCGGCAGAATCATATGGTGATGATCTTATGATCCTGAGCGTGAGTAGTCCATTGGAGTCATGGGTTCTGGATTCTGGAGCCTCGTTCCATTCATGTGGTAATTCTGAAGTGATGGAACAGTATACTTCGAGCAATTTTCGAGAGGTGTATCTTGCTGATGATGAGCCTCTTAAAATTGTCGGGAAGGGGACAGTTGATAAGTCTGATTTGTTCATATATTTTCACTCACTTTTTATAGCGTTTCTTGTTAAACTCATGGCAAATTGATACATTTTTCTGCGTTTTTATTGCATTTTTGTTAATGTTTGAAATTAGCGATGAAATTTACATTTTTAGTGATTTGTGCTTAGTTTAAGTGTTTGAGTTGGTTTTGTTTTTGTTTTTCACTTGTGTTATTCATATTTTGTAACGTGTCAAATGGAAATATGTCAATGCTCTTTTATTAATACAGATAACAAATGAAGTACATTAATTAATCAAAAGAAAGCACCAAAAAAAAACTGCAGCCAAGCTGCGTGAAGAAAAAAAAAAGCAAACAAAAAGAAATTAAAACAAATGAAAAGAAAGAGGAAGGGACGGATAGCTATCAACAGCAGGCCCGCAGCGTGGGATATCAAGGAAAAGAACAAAAAGGGGCAGCTCGTAGCAATCGGGACTTGTCGGCAGTAGGAAAGAAAACAATTCAGACCAACAGCTTTGGGGAGGAGGGCACAGCAATCGGCAAGGAGATGGGATAGGAAGCAATTAGCAGCACGAAGAAGAAAATCGCAGGCAGCTACTCCATGTTCATTCATCTATCAATCTTTGTTGTTAAGGTTTTGTGTTAAATTTCCTATTTAATTTCATGATTGAATAAGCTCTATATTTCATTCTTGGATTTTTTATCATTTGGAACTACTCTTAAGTTGGATTTTGCACTGTTATCATGTGAACGAATTTGTATTTGAATTATATTTTCCATGTATTACTTTAGCTCCTCCATTAATGGTATTAGTTTCTTGATAAGCATGTTAGGCTAAATTTCCATGGGGTTTGGATTTGGATAAAGTTAAGGTTAATGGGTGTTCTTGAATATTGAATTGAATTTGGGAAAGTTCTCTAATTTTTAGGACTAGTTGTTTGAGATGAAATTGAAAGAGTAATTTGTGAAATTGATCACTTCACTTGTGAATTTTTGGAAGATTAATTCTTTCTTGTCTATGAGTTTGGAATTAATTTAGCTCACATCTCACACACCCTAAACTAAGCCTAGAAATAGGACATGTTAGGGGAATTAAAATCAAGTTCTTGTCTATGAGAATTAATATATCACTATTCTTAAATTGGAGAAAGTTTTCCATATTTGTTCATAGTCCAAAGACACCCAAGATCCTTAATTCCAAATCTAGACCCCACTTTTAATTAATTTTTTTTCGTTACTAGTCACATTGAATTTACCTTTAAGTATTTGTTTTCGAAACTTTACTCATCCACATGTTTGCTAGTTTAATATTTTAATTAGTTAATTTTCTCTCTTTAGTTATTTTGCATGTTAACTAGTTTTAGTCTACTCATTAATGTCATTTATTTAAATTCTCCGCTACTACTTTTGTTGTTTAATTTTATTTACTTAATCATTATCACAATTAATCGTTTGAGAAAGCTTGCAGCGACTCGTACTAACCGGTGACCGATATTTAAACCAACACTTCCCTCCGCCACTCCTCAGAGACACGATACTCGGGGATAAACTTTTCCATCCGGAAGGGTTAAACTCTGTTTTACTACAACGCCGTGAAAGCGGGTTATCAACAGTCCACGTGAAGAGTCCGAACGGATGCATGCTGAAACTGAATGGAGTCCGACACATTCCTGGTTTGAGGAGAAATCTTCTTTCAATTGGGCAGCTGGATGAGGAAGGCTATGCAGTTACATTCGGCAACAGAAATTGGAAGATCACCAAAGGTGCCTTGCTGGTTGCTAAGGGGAAGAAGGAGGGTACGTTGTACATGTGACACCGCACCTGAACGTCCTTAAAAATTCAATTTAAAATTCGAAGTTTATGTATTGAATTTCCGATTACCAAACAATTGTAAAACGATTGTTGTTTTACGTAGTGCATGATTGATTATTGTACTGTTCGAACTCGTATATAGTGTCGGGCTTGCAAATACTTATTTGGGCCTTGTTAATAAACATAAGAGCCCAACATTATCTAAATAATGATACATAACCTTTCAAGACAAGTTATGGAAGGTTGGACATCCCAAACTTTATTTTGGGCCCAACCTACTAAAAATAGTAAGTATTCAAGAGTAGAGTCCTAAGCCCACTTGAGGGTAACCCACATGGCTAGTAGTCCAATAATATGAACGATGATGTCAAAATAAGCGATAGGATGATTAGGGAAGAATACAAACACATATGGTCCCATCTTTGACATTATTGAGCTAAATAATGGGAATATGTTCCTTCTATAATTTTCATCACATAAAATATTGGGATGAGCTTACACATATTGGAGATCAATAATGTGATGTAGGAAGTTGACTTGTTCTAAATAAATTAGGATGAGTACAAAAAGACATCTTTTGACAAAAGATAAAACAATAGGACCCATCTTTCCATTTTTGGAGGTATTAGTAGATATTTTGGACCCCAAATTGATTGGGATCAATTGGGAACCACTCCACATGACCTTAGTACCTGCAAAACAAAGAAGAATGGGTGAGACAAATATGTGGGGCGGACTTTTGACTTAAGAGCTACAACATTACAAAAAGGAAATAAAAGAGGAGGTCCACCCCATGTTTGAGTGCAATCAAACATCCTACCTTTCTTTTTTGAGAACCACATGCTCTCTTAGCATGATTGAGGTCTCCTATACACTCCCCCCAACACCACATTCGAACCATTTGAGATAATAGAGGGGAAGAAAGAAGCTGGCCGCAGGTTCGTTTTCCAGTAGATAGGGTTGCTTGTTTGATCCATAACTTGAGTTTCACTCGTCCAAATAAGTCGTATAAGATACCAAAAGAAATATCTCAAGACGAGGAATCCGTGAAGGTCTAGTTTGCATCAATCGGAGTAGTGGAAGGCTTCCAAATCGTCTGAGCAAAACACAACCTCGTAGAAACGGATTTACTCTCCTAAAGTGAGTTTTAACCCCAAAACCTTTCCTTTCATTTTCCAAATGATATGAACGATTGGTGGAACTATTGTACACTACTCCAAGTGTATAATATGTCCTTATAAATTTATTTTATTGATGTAAAGGTTAGATACTAACCTAGAGCAAATCTTGGAAACGAACTAGGAAACGAGTTCGCCGGAAAACACCCATTCTAGGGGCTGTTTTCGTATCAATGGATTATGGGTGAGCTAGCACTTTGAGAAGTCCGTTTAGCACTCATTTTTAGCAAGGAATCAGTTCTTAATCCATCTTGACCAAAGCTTTGACCGTTGGATGAAGAAGGAAAAGTTTAAAACTAAATTAAGGTGAGGACCGACATATAGTTGCTTACAACTTGTAGGTTATGCATGAGATTACCTAAATGCTTAAATCATTTTTTTGTGAATAAAGATTCTTGAACATGATATGAATGATAAGTAATGGACTTGATCATGAATTGAAAACATATTGATGAATATGGAGTCATATGAGGTAGATGTATGGAAATATGGTAAATAGACCTTTCTAACGCATGTATGAATGTTATGTGTATGTAAATGTATGGTTGCATGATGATGCTTAGCACATGGGAGGCTGCCACATATCTATTGATATGGAGGGGCTACCATTAAGAATAAATGAGTTGTAGGAATAATCTTAATAGTGTTGTGATGCTACTTAAGGATTGTTCGAAATATCGGTAGAATAAAACTTAAAGGTTTGGGTTTGTTTGTGATGAACTTGAATAAGATTCAAGTGTCAATTGTGATTTCATGGAGTAGGAGATCTATGGTGTGATTGGATGAAGTAGAAGATCTATGGTGTGATTATATGAAGTAGGAGATCTATGGGGTGAATACATGAAGTAGGAGATCTATGATATGATTGTATGAAGTAGGAGATCTATGATGCGAGGGCATGATGATATACTCGAGCCGAACTCTAGAGATGAGAAGTTATATTAGGGTTGAACCCTATGTATTGTCGTAACTATTAGTCACGGGGTTTGGGAAATGATTTGTAATAAACATGGGCCTTTGAGCCGACTACTTGACTTTATATAAAGTAAGTATATATTTTGAAAGGGGTAATTTGGGATTACGGCCTAGACTATATTATCACCCTATTTGAGGGTCTTGTGTGTGAAATACTTGTTGTATATCTATTAGATGCCTGCCACACCAGTACTTTATAGTCGTATAGAGTACTGACCCCTTCGGGGGCGTGCCACCACCATTTCAGGTTGAGGCTAGAGCTTGCTTCCTGTACTCGTTGCTCGAGTGATTTCCCCGGGGAGAAGACTTGGTTCGTGATTCCTCCACTCTATTTTATAACATTAATGAACATGCTCATGGATATTTTACTACAGAGCCTGCGTGCTCGTGAATAGCCCTGTGTGGACATTTTATTTTAAACAATGTTTCCGCTGCATTATGAATTACTTATTATGGTTGTTTATGGATGTTATATGTGTGAATGATATTCAAGACGCTTTGTATGATATGAATGTGTTTGACTTTGGTTGACTATTCGTATTGTACGGCGGGTTGTTGACGTGTCTGGACAGGTCCGGGGCGTGACAGTACATGACAATGAACTCGAACGACTGCATCGATGTTGTTGCCGCTGCAACAAACGATGTGAATTTGTGGCACTGTCGTCTCGGTCACATGAACGAAAAGGGGATGAAGGAGTTGTGCTCGAAGGGCAAACTGTCCGGCCTGAAGACTATTGAGGTTGGCTTATGCGAGGGCTGCATATTCGGGAAACAGAAACGTGTCAGTTTCTCGAAGGTAAGACGAGCTATCAAACCGGAGAAGCTGGAACTAGTTCACACCGACCTTTGGGTACCTGCAGAAGTTACATCCTTGGGAGGATCCGCCTGCTACATGACCTTCATTGATGATGCCACACGAAAGGTATGAGTTTATTTTCTCAAAAATAAATCTGATGCCTTTGATGCTTTCAGGAGGTCGAAAGCTCTTGTTGAGGCAGAGACAGGTCTGAAATTGAAGTGGCTTCGGTCTGACAACGGAGGTGAGTATGAACTGCATGAGTTCAAGAAATTTTGTGCTGAGAACGAGGTTCGTATGGAGAAGACAACGAAGGGGACTCCGCGGCATAATGGCGTTGCTGAACGCATGAACAGAAGACTGAATGAGCGGGCTAGATGCATGAGGTTGAAGAGTGGCTTACCGAAGATGTTTTGGGCAGATAAGTGAACACCGCGGCTTTTCTCATCAACAGAAGTCCAACGATCTCGTTGGAGAATGGCATTCCTGAAGAAAGGTGGACGAGTAAGGAGGTTAATCTGTCCTATCTCCGCATATTTGGTTGTGTTGCTTATGTTCATATCAGTTCCGTTGACCGAAGCAAGCTAGACGTTAAATCTGTCAAGTATACGTTCGTTGGCTATGGTGGTGATGACTATGGATACAGATTCTGGGATGATCAGAATAGAAAGATTATTCGTAGCCAAGATGTGGTGTTCAACGAGCAGGTTATGTACAAGGGCAAATTGAGTGTTTCTGATTCCGAGCAAGATAATCCAAAGATCATTGTGTTAGATATCTCTAATTCGAGTGGGAGCAATCAAGATCAGAATGAAGAGTTGAGCAGTGATGAGGATCCATCAACCCCACCAAGGCAGTGTCCTGTCAGAAACCGGAAAAAGCATATAAGAGGTTGCTATTATGGGCGTGGTTGAGAGATGAACAGAAGAAGACTTAAAAGTATGGAAACTGGAAAAACAACACAGCCTCCTGCCCTCAGCAGGGAAGTGTCAGTCGGTTCCACCAAGCGCAGTAACAACAACAACAATAATGAATTATTAAACAATAATAGTAATGATGGTCTTCTTCTTTCCATATCAGTTGCAAACTTGCAATTCTTGGAAAAGATGCTTCAAATATACCGCCATTGATGATTGCAAGGAATGGTTCAGACACCAAAGACAAAACAGAAAAATAGAAAATGAGTTTTTGTTGTTGTAAATATGATAACACCAAATTTCTACACTTAGAAATCTTTATATGTTTGACACGATACAAAGATGGACATATACAATAATGTGATTACAGTGTTACATACTTAGATATAGTACACCAATAAAGAGATACTGTTGTTTTTCTTTCCGCCAACACTGTTAAACTAAACCAACTCCACCACCAATGCACAGATTTAATATTCAAAGGTCAACAAGTGTCTGAAGAACATTAAGTTTCAAGCAATAAGTTAAAGGGAAATTGCCCTAAATAGGAGTAAAAACGTTTATGTAATCCAAAATTTGACTATCATGTTTTCATCCCTAAATAAGAGTAATTATTGTCATGTTTTGGCAGTACTAGACTATAAACATGGTAGTATTTTCTAAGCTTGACACTAATTACTCTTTGAGAATGAAAACATTACAGACCTACTTTGGAATTTTCAAACGTTTTTACTTGTGTATCGGGAATTTTCCCGACATTAAATATTTAATCAATTGTCATAGCGATATAAACTCCGCCATGAGATCAATTTTTTTTTTTGGTTTCATGTCTGTCCCAAGCCAGGATAAAGGAGGAGGATGTTGTGTTAGGCGCGTGACAACCAACAGTATCACCTAGTCATATCACATGACATGAATCGAAATATGAATATCGCTACAGCTAGGTCGTCGCCCGTAAGCGACGCGTCATCCCTCCGCCTGGGGGTGGTGTCAAATATGCAAGGGCACGCTACACTTCATAGACCTGGGTGTGGTGATAAGAATGATAAGGTTGCTAGGTCGTTGCCCGGAAGCGGCGCGGCATCCCATTGCCCGAGGATGATGTCAAATATGCAAGGGCATGGTGGGGTCCGAGGCAGGGCTAAGAACAGAAGGTGGAGTGCTAGATTGCGCTTTGGGACGTGGAATGTTGGGTCTCTTACAGGCAGATCTTCCGAGATAGTCAAAGTTATGAGGAGGAGGAATATCGGCATTATGTGTGTGCAAGAAACTAAATGGGTTGGAGAGAAAGCACGTGAGATTAATCCCAGAGGTTTTAAGTTGTGGTATTCGGGGAGAGATAAGACCAGGAATGGGGTAGGCATTATTGTGGCGTGTGACTATGTTGAGGATGTGGTAGAAGTCTTCAGGAAGAACGATCGCATCATGAGCATTAAATTGGTGATGAGGGGTGAGATTGTGTCTGTGGTAAGTGCCTATGCACCACAAGTGGGATTGGATGCATCTACAACTCAACAGTTCTGGGAAGATCTTGAAGATGTGGTGCGACGAGTGCCAAGGGGAGAGAAGTTGGTCGTAGGAGGCGACCTCAACGGGCATGTGGGCTCGAGTCGTGATGGCTTTGCTGAAATTATGCGGTGCCATTAATAACATTGCAAATAACTCACAAAGCCTAACCAAAAGAATCACATAAGAGTGATAAGGCATCCTCTAAAAAGAAAAGAACACCTCCCGTTTAACAAAATTGCAGGAAACCGCATTTTTATGTTACACCATATGCATTGGGCATTTTCCCAATCGCGCACCGCGCGTTACAAAACTAGTATTTATTATACAATTGAAGATTAGAGAATGATTTATGGGGTGGGGTAATTTGAGTTTGCATCCCATATTATTGTTGAAATTGGACTTTGCACCCCGTTTTTAAAATTTTTTGTTTTTGCACCCCAACCCCGTATGAAAAGACAAAAAAACCTCTTGATCAGAAATATGTTGAAGGCCAAAAGAATTGTTAATGGAAGAGCATTTTTGTCTTTTTATATGAGGTTGGGGTGCAAAAACAAAGGTTGGGGTGTAAAGTCCAATTTTGACAATAATATGGAGTGCAAATTCAAATTATCCCTTTATTTAAAGTGTGGATGTGTAAAAAAGAATTAAAAACTACACTTGAATTTTAAAAATGGGAATACATATTAGTTTTAGGTTAACGCTTGTTTTTTCTTATTAGTTTTATAATTCTATAGAAGTATTTTAATTCATACCAATATTGGAAATGTTATTTAGAATGGATAATGAACATACTTTCAAAAAAGCAAAATGAAAGGAATATTTACCTAGTTTGAATTTGAGCTCGATTTTGGCTCGATAGATTTTCGGGGTTCGATTTTCACGCTGAATAAACACGCTCGAATGTAGAAGTTTAGACTATACATGTTAATAGATTCATGTTCGAATTATTCAATAAATACTCGAATCTATAATAATCATTAATAAATTTATAAAATTGCACTAAAATGTTTAAATTTTAAGATATATACGAAGTACCTATAATTTATTCATATAATTTATAAGTGAACGATAGGCTCATGTCCGGATCGAACCAAACATCACTATGTTCGAACTTGGCTTGAATAACTATTCAAACTTTAAACCTAGTTTGTGTTCGAGTTCGAACCTCATTAAGCTAGGATCATTAAATTAGATTCGAAATCAAGCTCGAACTCGAGTATATAATTCAAAAAAAGATAGATTTGATAACACCTCTGAGTAAAATCTTGTATGTATAACAACAAATTCTTTTCCTGGTTAGCCCACCCCACCTTTCAATCCTAGATCCGCCCATGTGCGCATTGATATGAAAATCGTAAGGTTAGTTAAAAATCACGACATTTTCATTTCATCAAATCTCCTTTATTGGGATCAATGAAAATCACGATTTCTATTCAATGAGTATTAGTGAACTTTTAATGAGCATCACACTTATACAAATGAGTATATGTCACTTATAAGATGAGTATTGATATGAAAATTGTAAGTTTTGTTCATTGAGTATTAAGACATTTTCAGTGAACATCAGACCTCCGTTATTGAGTATTCGAATCGTGCGATTGAGTATCATGATTTGTGATCTCGTGTCTATAATCGACTCTTATGTGAATCTAATGTAATATGAGACTTTTGAAATATGCATTGATGTAACATTTTAAAATGAATATAAGAGATTGAAGTACAGACTTGGCGGACAGAATTCGAGGAACGCGATGATGATTTTATTAGAATACGAAGGCTAAACGATGACGGACAAACGATCGGAGGAGGCGCCTCCGCACCCTGATCCACCTGCGATCAAGGCCTGGGGAGGTAAATCTTTCGCTTCTGTGGTTGCTGGACCTACTGTGATTGCTTTGTCAAAGAAAACTCCCTTTCGGTACAAAGGGGTACCATCTGTTGCTTTCCCAGATGAGGACGTCCAGGTACTTGCTGCTTTACATACGAAAGCCTTAGTGGGATATTTTTTCAAGGGGCGGCCATCCATGCCTACTTTGCGTAAAGCTTTTGAACTTATCGGTTTCAAAGGGAAGTTTCAACTCGGTATTGTGGACAAAAAGCATTTGATTATAAGATTTGATGTGGAAGATGACTATCTCCGGTGTTGGAATAGGCAGGTGTGGGATATCTTCGGGAACGAAATGCGTGTGACCAAATGGACACCGGATTTTCAACCTAATGTAGAATCTCCGGTGGTACCAATTTGGCTAAGTTTTGAGGGACTTCCAATCCATTTATAGGATCAGAGGGCTCTCTTTGATATTGCTGCTTTAATTGGTAGACCTTTAAAGGTCGATGCTGCTACAGCATCCTTTTCTCGACCATCTTTGGCCAGAGTGTGCGTGGAATTGGATCTCACTAAGGAGATGCCAAATAAGGTTTGGATCCAGTGTGGATCCCGAGGTTTTTTCCAGTCGGTGATTTATGAAAACAGACCCCTATATTGCAGTCATTGTTTTCATCTAGGCCATTCTATCAATGCGTGTCAATTTAAAGCCAAAAACCAGGAGAATATTTTGGGTATTGGAACTACTGAAGCTACAAAAACTGACAAATGGGTAGCAAAACCCATAGTTCAAAACCAGCAAGTAAAGAAAATTACTGCTGCTACAAATAAAAAGCAGGGAGAAGGGAATCGGGGTGATGAGCAAAACATTACGCAGCAGCAGCCCCCTCTCGATAAAGGGAAAGGGAAAATAATTGATTTTCGGCCTGTCATAAAACCTTTCATTCAACACATTGATCTCCAGCCTGTCATACAGCAACTTGATGTTGCCGATATTCCATCAACTTCTAAGACTTCTCAGAATGTCAATGATGATATTGTCAATACATCAGAACCTGAAGAAGTTTACACTGAGACATTGGCATCAGTTAAAAATGACGTAGGTACTGCAGAGTTTGAGCAGCCTTTTTCAAAAGATTCAATTGTTGAAGGGATACCTGCCTCAGAGATTTTCCAGATTGATAGAGCTAAAGATGATTACAATTTGATGCAGATATCAAAGATTAAAAATTACGATCCTTCCATATCTGCAAAAGGATACTCCTCGGATGGAGATGGGTGTTTTTTAGACAACATACAACATTGGAAGGAGGGACATAATACCCTTACCAGGAAAGTGAGAAAATTGCTCTCTAAAATCTCACAAGAGAAGGCTGATACAGAGCTTCTGGCAAACCTGGATCAGCAAAGCAACAATATTTGTGATGGTTTTATAACAGTCGCAAAGAAGAAAAAGAAACAGCCTGCTCAAGCAAACCCAGTCACTCCTAGAATTACTAGGAATGCAGCGAAAAAGCTGGCCCAAGCTTTTTCTGCAATTTCATGATGAATTGTCTTATATGGAATGTTCGTGGCCTTGTTTCTTCCTGTCCAAGGCTACGAGATCTTATTAGACAGTGGAGTATTAAATTATTGGTTATTACTGAGCCAATTGTTTCTAGTAATAAAATTAATGGGATTGCTTTGCAACTGGGTTTAAATTCCTTTTTCTTTAGTCCTGAAAACAAAATTTGGTTGTTCTGGGATAAGTCCTCAATTGATATTTCTGATTTTTCAGCTGGGAGTCAATTAATTCACATGAAAATTCA